TTCTCGAAATTTACTTTTCACGCGAGTAAAAGTGCAAAGTTCCGCGTTTCGATTCCCAAGCGCGGAGCCACAAATACGAGGAATCGTGTTCACACGCTAGACATTAATTTCCTCCTGGATGAAAGCTGTTAGTTTTCTATCGAACAAAGAGGAAGAAGAGTTGGAGGTAGATAAAGAGGAGGGGAGGAGAAGGGGGAAGATGCTTTCTAGGGATAAGATGAGATTCAAGGGAATGGGTACATGTCAGGGTCCTCAGGGTCGCGATTCATCGCTCACGACCTTTACTTTCTCCGTTTTCCGTGTGCGTGACAACTTGCTGTGGGATGAGAAGCATGGAAAGGAGAAGAAAAGAAAAAAACAGGATGGCGAGAAGAGATGGTCGGATGCCTGTGTTAATCATTCTTTGAAAGAGGATCTACGTATGGGAGAAAAAAAATATGACTAAAGAAGGAAAAGCGACTTTCGAAGAGCGAATTTGATCGATCGTCCGCCGAGGAAATTTTTTAAATTCGATAGAAGATGTCCCGACTCGAGCCTGCCCCACACGCACGGTTCAAGCAACTTGATTCGATTCGATTTAGATTGATAAAAATTTTTTTGTCAAGAAATGAATTCAAACAAAAATCGAAAGTTCATTCGTAGCTAAAAAATTGTTCATTTTCTTTTATTAATATTGTACAACAAAATTCAAGTTTAAATAAGTTTAAATAATTTTAAAAACATTGTTAATCAACATTTGTTTTGTTTTTAAATTGATTCAAACCCTCGAGTGTACAATAATGAAACTTATATCAGTTTTGAAAGCAACGACATAATTAATGATAAGAATCTAAAATATCGATAAATCAAAAATTGATATAATTAAAATGAGTGCAATCTTTCTTTCTTATCTTTATCTTCCTATGAATCATTTCTAACTCTAGCCTCACAGTCTAATAACGATAATAACGAAATGGATAAATAATAATAAAAAATAAATAAATTCGAAATAATCGTATATCGCGATTCATAATGTTACTAGGAAATATCGTTCCTCCGCTTTCTTCACCGCTATCTCACGGCGCAACATTAAAATTCACGATATTTCTTTCCGCGCTTTCTTAACGGAGATAAGGGAAGCCGCTTTCGAACATCCACCTACAGGTGGAAATATCTCTGTGCGAGGCAGACACGAGTAGTAAATGCAATTAGCATATAATATGATCGCGGGACGAGTTCAAAGAGAAGCTCCAATCAACGTGTCGACCGGCTTCCATGGATGGTGAAAGTTCCGGATACCGGTGGTGGGCGCTTCGTATATAACACGATCGTACGAGCATTAAGTTTCAGAGCTCCGATGATCTTGGAGCGCACGGTGCGAGCGTGCAAGAAATAAAAAAAAAAAGATTGGAAGATGAAGAAATGGAGATTGAAAAATGGAGAAAAAATTAAATTAGATTAGGATTTAGGATTAAGACGAATTTTTAAGTAAGAATTTATGTCTTATAAGATAATGGATCTGTGTATATAGATTAAGATTGAGATGAGAATTTTTTGAATTTTTAGAAATTTTGGAAATTTTGAAGAAAGTTTGGAAAAATTAGATTTAGATTAATAGGATCAAAAGGGGATTTCACGATTTTGATTTTGAGAAGATGATATAAAGAATAAGTTTTAAAAAATTTGATAATAGAAGATTTGATCAAAGATATATCATTTTGGAGATATTTTGGGAAAAATGAATTTTTTTATCGATTTATTAAATGGCCGATACAAAAATATAATCTTACTTTTCTATCTTATAAATATGATATATTTAGATGAATTTTATTATGGACTAGAGATAATATATATTTAAGTTCTTGTGAAATTAGAAAATTTATGAATAATAAATAATAAATAGAAATGACGATAAATTCGTAACAAGCTTGTAAAATTAATATAAAAACATAAATATGAAGTTTACGTATTTTATGTTTTTTAAACACTTTCGTGTTTTCAAAAAAAAAAAAAAGATTTTGAAAACATATTTTTCAAACCATATTTTTAAAGCCATATTTTTCAAAATTTAAATTAAATTAAAAAAGAAATATATATAATATATAATTTATTATTATTTATTTATCTTATTATAATATTACATATACAATCTAATATAGTTTTCAGTAATGTGAATAAATTATTAAAATTATTTATGGATTTGTAAATATTTTTTTCATGTTTTATTTTTATATTTTTATTGTTACGTTTATCAGTGTAATAATATAATTGCTATCTACCATGAGTAGAAAATATATAAAAATTTGAAATTAAAAAAATTTTATTAAAAAATTTCATCGAAATTCTTTTTTAATAAAAAAATAAAAAATAGAAATTAAACATATTCAACTCTTCCTAATTATTTTTGATCTTAATCAATTATTTTTTTTCTTCTTACTTTTTAAATGTATTAATAGAAATAGTGAAATTTTTTTTTAAAGTCTTCAGTTTTTCTTTACAATAAAAAAAATCTCATGCAGTAAAATCGATATAATATTTTATCTACGCTATTTTATTTTCAATTAGTCACTTAAAGAAATAATGGAAGAATATTTTTAATATAATTTATGTAATGAATCATATACATATATAACATATAATATATGTATGAATCATATCCTTGCGCTCATAATTTATTAATAGTAAATCGAACTATTGAAAGTTATTCATTCTTTATGTATGGCGTGACACGAGGACATATATTACCCAATAGAAAGTGAATCGTTCATATCGTTGGATTTTTATAGTAATTGCAATCTATCGATATTTTTATCATAAGATAACAAGAGAAACTTGAACTTTGCCAAGAATTAATTAAAACGATATTAATATTTCTTCTATTTTACATTTTCTAGCAAAGTTCACTCATTATCGTTTGTTATCCCGATAATTATGTAAATAATATGAATAATAATATGAATAATTAAAAATATAATATATATATCAGTTATTGTCACAATAATGATAACAGAAAATTTGCAATTTTTATTACACATTAATGTAAAAAAAAAAAAAAACTAATCTATAATATATAAATTGATAATTCTTGTTGATAAAGTTTCATATTTTAATTGAATTATATTTCAATTTAAAGGTGACATCGATTCATTTAATTACGCATTGTTAAACGCAAAACTTTTCGTTACAATTAACCATATAATTTATATATTGTTTCAACTAATGCATGCGTCGAATTATAAATATGACTGGTCTTTTGTATTTTTCCGCCGCGTTGATGCAAGCAAATCAAGTGCTTCTTTCGAAAGCTGAATATTGGAGTACTTTTTAATCATTGATCAACTCTCGTATACTACATAGAATGCGAAGAGGCGAAAAGCATCGTCATGATCTACGGTTACTTGACAAGGCCACTTTCACATGAGTTGCTGTGATGAAGACGAGCACGTGTACATTCTTCCTTTGTATATCTCCTCTACGAATCTCGTATTGACAATCCTTTTTTTTTTTTTTTTAAATTTACTTGCTCGCACATGGAGAAAGTATAATTTATAAATTAACGTATTTATCACTGAAAACTTACACAACTCGCGAATATCTTCTTTCCTGGATTGCGTAAGAAACAAAGAAACTTTGGAACTCAAATATCTGAAAAATTTTTAAATACATGAGAATTTAGATATTTTGACATTAAAATTTCAAGTACATTGATATACTTAAACGTTTAAAAGAATTAAATATTCGGGCATCGTTATAATTTATTGGAAATTTTTATATAATGTATTTAATGATACTTTACATGTTTAAGGCAAATTCTAAATTTACACATTTTATAAACTTTATGCTTTGGAATTTGATTATTCAAATATAATTCGGATATTTCGAGATTAAAATGATTAAGAGATTAAAATTTCATGATTTTTTATGAATTTTATAAATCATATCCCTTACATTATACAAAAAATTTTATTCCCGAAATGAATCGAAATGAATAGAATTTGATTATCAGTATAATAAATAAATGAAAGGAATATTAATAGAATAGTTACGTCAGCTATACTGTAAGCGAATAACTAGTTTATTTGCTTTTATATTGTATGTAATGTGAAATCATTTGTAACGTAAATGAAACATATAGGTCAATGGTAATGATAGCTTAGAGTAGAAACGTAATTTCACCTAAATAACGTGCATCACTGATCGCGAATTGAAACAAATTTCACTTTCGAATTGGGATTGAACGCATTTTACTGCACAATTATATTTTCGTAATAAAATTTGTGTTTTATTTATTTCATGAACATTATTGTTATTTACGTTTGTTTAAATATTTATTTAGAAGTCATGGTTTTCAATTTATAGTATGAAATAAATTTTAAAAACAAATAATATATTTTTTTAAATTATGTGTTTAAATATATTTATATAAATATATATATATATACATACTATGTATACATACTATGAATATTAACGAAATAAAAGATATGTTTATTATGTTGGAATGTAACCATTAAATTTAAAAAAAATATATATATATATTTATAGAAATAATTGTGTTCTTATCATTTTTTAATTTTTGCTAATTAGATTGATTATTATAATTATTATGGATAATAGCATGTAGCCATATAAAAATATATATTCATATATACATACGTACGTGATATAAGTATAAGCTAACTTCAAATAAGATTTATAGATTTATATATTATCTGATCGATAAACATTCCGTGACATTCAATTGAACATACAATTAAATATCAAAATTTCACCTGCACCATTGGAGGACGCATCATTGATTACAGAGTAAGGTTTCACTTTCGAATTGGAATCGTCTCGAATGCATCGAGACACTGGACTTTGAACCATGCAACCATAGCTTTTTACTGTATTTATAAATATGCCGGAAATTCAACTGCAATTTGAAAATTGACCGAAGATTAACATCATAAAAAGATTATGAGAAAATTCGTAGAAATTCCGGAAGTTTTTCGGTAAACATCTTCAACAAAATTATACAAAATTATATAAATCTCGAAGACTTATAATTCATGTAAATATGGAAGTTTATTGTCTACAAACAATACATTATTGTGCATCTCTTGAGAAATTTTCTAATAATTTCTAATAATAAAACAATCTTCTAAATCATTATAGAAAAATCAATTTTTCTTAAATCTTAAAATATGAAAAATTCAATATATAAATATAATAATAATTTGAATTTTGAATAAATATTTCACGAAAATCTCTAATGAATTTCTTATTAAATTCATGATTTAAATAATTTTTTTTATTCGATCACATTACCACGTTGAAATGTTAGTTTCACTTTCGACCCAACATAACTTTTTTCGACCTCAGATGCATCTTCAACTCTCTATTCATTCGAACAGTTTCATGCTAAGGATGTAACCACCATCGTGACTTTCCCATCGTGGAAATTGCTTATTTGGTTGACTAGAAAAGAGAAGATTGAATCATATGAGAAAAGGGTAACTAGCCTTGATGACCTTTAGAATACGATATTTTTTTTTTTTATTTAGTTATTTATATTTCCACTAGTATCGAATACTATATTTTATTATATTTTATCATATCGAATACTATATTTTATTATATTATATTATATATATGATAATAAAATAATCATTGATTATCGAAAAATAAAGATATATTTTAATTTGATAAAATTTTTTAATATTATTCAAAAAATATGCTAATAATTCTTATCTTTAATATTTAATGTTAAAGAGTAACATAAATTCTCCGATCGTGAACAAGTCATTGATCGATATCTTCTTTGTAAATTATTCAAATTATTCGTGATAATTTTAAATTCACAATGATTTTTCTTGATATTATCACGAATTAAAAATATATGAAATAAGATTCTAAATAAGCTAGATCGTGAACTTTACCTTGAACTGATGAAGTGAAATTTTTGTTATCTAACCGTAAAACACGTTGTTCAATGTGTAGCACTTTATTTATTATCTTTTCATTTGAGAAACATATACATTCAACAGAATAGAATGTACATATATACGAAGATACCAAGTGTAATTTAACCGAACATTAAATAGGAGATATCTTAAGTTAAGTCGTCAAGGTTAATGACAGGAGAAAATTTCTGCAAAATTAAAATTTATTCAAGCATAGTTGAGTAATCGGCTATGATCTTAATAAAGCTTCCTATTCTTTCAGAACATTCCAGTACATTCATAAAATTGTTATAATATGTGAAAGTTAATCTTGGCGATTAGCGCATTCTGTCACTATTCATTGTCGGTTCTAACAATTATATTTCACGCCTGCTCGCTTCTTTTGTTCTCCCTCATATTCCAATGTCATTCAAGATCTCACCGCGAAAAGAAAAACTTTTAGGCTAGTTTCTTAAAATGTCAATGTAGATTTCTGTAGAGAGTAGAACATCCGGTTTCCAATCTATACTGTACGGGGATAAAGCATATATCGAGGTCTACGCAATTGCGTGCCAGGAAATCGAAGGAGACGCTGTACGCAATCTGCGACCCGAAGAAAATCTACGCAATTCACTTTCAAATAAGAATGTGACACTATGCTTTCTAATGAATAGAATCGATACTAATATAGTGTATTCAAGTATTTATATATGTAATTCGAAATAAAAGTATTTGATAAAGATAATTTGAAAATTTATTGAAATTCAATAATTTTAAAACTTATATAATAATATTTTCAATATCTATAGTATTTAAATGTATAAAAATATTTAGAAAAAGAAATATTTGGATATTTCTTTTACTTAATTCTTTTCAATGAATAATTTTTTCTTTAATAAACTCTTTAATAAATTCTTTAATAGACCAATTAAATGTATCAGTTAAATAAGACAATACATTTAAACTACTTACTTTCATAATTCTTTCGAGTATACAGTTTATTTCAGCCAAATACAGTATTCTAGTTAATTTTGAAATGTCGACCACGAACTATGAAACACCTTTCACTTATTAAAAAGAGCAATCCGTCGTAGTTTAAGAAGGCGTTATGGTTCGTAATAGAATGACGAGATAGACCGAAGTCTAGAGCAAGGCTGTTACATCAATTTCTCGACGGTATTTATTACTTTCACTAAACTTCTACATTGCCGGAACTGGCAAATATTCATACAATATCCGGTTTTCGTATTCTATGTATATAGATATCATATAACGGATGGATCATAAATTAGACACTCTAATTCAAATAATATTTCAGTTGAGTTGACATCTGTTGAACATTCGACAAAAATGGTAGAATATACCAACCGTTAAGATTTTTAAAACATTTCGAAAATTTATTATTTTTTATGCAATATAAATCTTCGAAATAAATTTTTGAAAATAGATTATAAGTAAAATTATAATAATAAAATAATATTATTTTTTAAATTAATATTTCATAGTTACTTTTATACTTCATAGTTACTTTCTTTGTAATATTGTTTGATGTTTTTGCCCATGACTTTTTTCCAAATCACAAAGATCACCGACAGAGCACGCTCTTGTTTGTTTGATGTGCATTGAGAAGTTCGTTCGAGAAGTTTAAATGGAAAGTTCAGCGTATAATGATATACATGACACGTAATATATTACAAGATCATTTCAGCATTGTGTAATAATTAGACTTGATTATTAAATCGTCAATTAAATCGTGAATAATATTATTTACAACGAAATGGATTGGACATTTTAATTAATAAAAATCACGACAATGTCTCTTAATGTATGGAAACAATGATTATTAATAACAACAATCTTTAATTATTATTAGTGTTAATTATTAACAATTTGTTGATATGAATATGAACGCGTATAAATATACCTATCGGTAAATATATTTAACGATAAATAATATATAATCGCTTTCACTTCTAAGAAATTACACAGATAAAAATCAAAAAATAAACATGAGTAATGATATTAAAAATATTTTAGACATTATTTTATATATGTGTTAAAGTAACGTCATATCAAGTGTTTCTGATATTAATTAAATTGTATGCTTTTTTACAATAATTATAAAAATATTTTTTTAAGAATTTAATATTTACAAATATTTATTTTAAAAAAAATATATTTTCTTTGAATAACTTATAATTCGATTTACCATGACTTTAAATATTCAATTTATATTTTTAAATTTGATATTCTTCATCATTAGTGAAAAGCAAAACATTTTTAATAAAATCAAAAGAAACGCGAAAGATATATATCGTAAAATAGGAAAAATAAAACTTTCATTTTATTCACATGGTTGCTCATTCCTTTGTCGATTATTCAAGATAGACAAGTGAGAAGAAAAAATTACTGATGGAGAAATTCGTCTAAAGATTTAAATCGATTACTTCAATAAAATCAATAGAAACATGAATTGATTTAAGAAATCAAGAAATGAAAAGTATCGTGCAGATTTTTATTTTGTTTTATATGAAATAGATACCAAAGATAATAGATCCATTCTTGACATGTACGTATTTAAAAAAAAAAAGAAATTATCATTTTCATAGAATTATTCATAGAACTTTTGTTATCTTTCTTTAAGAATGTGATAGATATTATAAATAGATATTATTTTTTATTATAGAAAATTTAACTTAAGCTAATTACAATTTTACAATACAGACGAGATTTCATACTTCCAGACTTTTAACTAAGAAGAAAATAGAAGAAAGATCTAATTTTACTTCTGATAAGAATTGAACCATTTCCAAGCACGTTTGGCACATTTGTTTTCTCTAAATTTTTTATTGAGACCCATAACCCAAATATGAAGAAAAGACATTTCGAGATATCAGCTAGCTACCTCGAGGGCGGGACGTTTAGAAAGCTGTAAGTATTCGCCCATAAGTCGACCATCTCGAGTGCAAATACGAATTTCTAAAATATTTCGATCCTTTATTTACTGTCGCGTCTTTGGAACGTTTCAAATATCCCTTTTCTCTTTCCACTCACGCGTCAAACGATTCATGTGTCATACCATATCCTCCTTTTTATTTCAAACTACTGCTTGCTATATGATTTTGATATTTTTTTGCTACATTGAAATGAATCGAAAACGCCTACTAATTTTTTTTTTAAAAAATAGGAAATAACAGCCAATATTTATTTCGCATTTATATTTTAAATTACGACACATAATTATATAGACTTGAAGCTATTATAATTCATAAAAAAATGTTAATATTCTAAGAATAATAACTTTTAATTTCCAACAATGATAATAAGCTTTTTTTTTTTGAAGTTAAAAGAAAATATCAGGCGAAAATTAATATCCCGGACACGGAGAAACAGTGAAACGTCTATTTCAACTATTCTTCGGTACAAACCTGAAAATCTAGAGCAACTAGGCGACTAAGTGATTTACGAACTAGAATACCTAAAACATATCGTAAAAATTTCGTATGCAATCAGGCTTCTGACTTTGTAAAATGAAGAATTCACTTTCATTCCATGAATATACATATACTTTTGTTGCATATTTCACGCGAATTTAGATAATTATCACTTAAATATCACTCAATTAAACAAATTTTTCAAGCGAAGAATGTTATATTTTATATTTCTTCATAACATTTATTTTTTTAACTTATAATTTTTATTTTTATTTTCATCATCCATTTCTCATATATCTTTAGGCTTTATTACGTTTCTCTGTATTTTTATTTATTTTCTTTTTTCTTTTTAAATTCTATTTTTCATTAAATTTGTGGATAAAATATTGAAACAAATTTCACGATTGCCAGTGTATTTCAAATTTCTTTGAAATTTTAAAGAAAATTATTTGAACGAATCGTTGCTTTTGCATTATAATATTTCTTTCCGCTTTAGCATGTACTTTCACCAGTGCAGGCGTCTGTGATTATGAGCTTTTCAAATAAAACGCAATGCCGCCATAATTTGCGCGCGTTGTTTCGTTTCAGACGTAAATCTTGCAAAAGCAAGATTATAAATATACGTAGAACATAACTTCTCTTTTTTTTATATCTTTTGTATTAAGAATAAAATTCATTTTCCACACCTTGTAATGATCTTGATACAAATATTTGATTAAATAAGATATTACTACATACTATTTGTCGTATTGCTGATGAATAATATAATAACATGATTTAAAATAAAATTTTGTAAACATATATTATTTGAAAATGGATCTGAATGCTTAATTAATTAAGAAAGAAAACGCATTAGAAATGATGCAAAATAGAAGTTGATTTTCATTCAAAAGAAAAATATATACAATGATTGTTTTGCAACTAACAATTAATTTTGTTTTTCCATAAAACATTAACATTTATAAATAATAACTTCAGTTAAATTATATTAATTTCAAAAATTGGAAACAAATATTGGAAATATTCTAAAATTCCAAACTACTGTTTAATGTTTAATGTTACCATTCATAAAGATTATAAAGTATAAAAATTTTTTAACTATTTTCAGCAAGGGAACATCATCTTTGCTTCAAATCAACTTTGCTCAAGTGGTAATCTCGCGTCGATCAGACACCTTTATGGCAATCAATGATGACAGAATATGTGAAAGGAAAAACGATGGTGGTCCAACCATGGAGCCATCTTCCTGGAATCTTCCGGGAGAGAAACCTGCATGGACATAAAAACGGTTAGTTAATCATTCAAGAGGAAAAAATTCGCGTGAAACACAAATGTGGTACGGTCGGATCTCCTTTTGCCATTACTTTTCCATCTAGGTAATCTGGAGCACCAGGTATAACCTTGCTACATAACCTTGCCTCTCCATGAACTTCGCCTTCACTGGACAGAGCCGCGTAAATATCAAGAGAGCGAAACCGTAAGGCTTGCCCGACCGGATCGCGTTCTCGATCACTTTCTCCGGAACGATGGCCCCTCGTGGTATAAAGAAAGATCGTTGGTCTGGGAGGTGGACACCGTCAAGGAGGAAGGAGAGCGAACGTAGCGATGGGATTAAGTTTCTTTTGAATCTATATAATAAATAGTTACCATGATTTTCCGGATAATTATAAAATATTATACATATATTATTCGTAAGATTTACGATATTAATTGTCAGAAGAATTATATGAAATCGATACATAAATATAAAACACGAAGTAAAATGTAAGGGATAGAGAAAAATTTAAAGTGGAATCAATTGTAAAGATCTCTATCCAATTTTTTAAATAACGATTTCACAGATATATATATATATATTATCAGTATAATAAAATGTAGAAGAATAAGATGAAAGGTAAGATGTATATTATATATTATAATTGAAAAAGGAAACGAAAACGTATATCATTAAAATTTAAAGGTAGGAGAGAAAAATGCTTCCGAAGACGTCGTAACATTTTTCACATGGAACAATGTGATCTAATCAACCAACAAAAAGTAAGAAACAAAAGATTGGTCCCAACGCTAAACAATCGAGTTGAGAGCTTTCCGTAACATAGCCTCGTCGGAATCCACCACTATCGTGTCTCGATTTCCTCCAACTATGGGACTACCTCCACCTCCAGACCGATTTTACCACCACTTTTACCATCTGGCCCAGACACACCACAAGTCACCTTCAGACGATGGCACTGGGGGAGAATACGCGCCTATATAACTACGGCGTTCCACTGATTGGACGAAGTAACTTACGTTTTCCTGCACTTAGGGAGCAAGAATACGCGGCCCGAGCCCGACGGGCG